ACCTCTGTCTGTCTGTCTGTCTCTGTCCCTCACTGCCTTTTGTTTTTTCTTTCTAACTCTCTCTGTTTCTTTGCCTTTCACTCGGTTTTTTTCTTTCTCTAACTCTATCTCTGTCTCTTTCCTTCCTTCTGCCAGACTGAGAGCCCAGCTGCCCTCCTATAGACCCAGGAGTAGGCAGCTCTCCACGGAACTGACAAGAGCGGTAGGTCCAGGCCTCCGTTCCTCATTGGGGAACAGAGATGGCTGGCAGTGGTTTTCCTTGAGCAGCCACTCAGCAGGGACTCTCCAGCTGCTGGTGCAGGTAGAGGAACTTCCCTTAGTGGCACTAGCTTGCCTAGAGCACACACAAGACCCCCTTTGACCATGAGAGCAGCTGCCTTTCTATCTCCTTCCCACAAACACACTTAATCCTGCCTTGTACATTCTCATACAGCCTCCAAGGGGGGCTGCGGCAGCAGGTCCTTCCTGGTCTCCGCTGTGGAGAAGCAGACTGGAAGCGGATTTATTTCTCTTGCTCTAGTGGTACATAGCAGCTCCCCGGTGTGGGAGCTGGGGGCAGGCCTTTCGGAAACACATGGAGCTTTCTCTGTGGAAACCTTTCTCAAGGAAAATGGTGGCAAAAAGCTCTGCCACTTTATCCCTCAAAGCGGCTTTCTTTCATATCACCTAAAATGAATTAAATGATGAGCGCCTTGGGATTTCATCTCTCTTGATCCCTTTCAGCCGGTGGGCTGGGGCTTGGGGGGAGGGAAGAAGTGCCCTGAGAAGGGGAAACGTGATCACATAATTTACAGCAGCCATGGGTAGATTTCAGCCCTGGCCCCATCACTAACGCTGTGTGATCTCAGGTACAGGATTGACCAGTTTCCCCATCTAAAACTGGGGGCAAAATATATACTCAGCTTCCTCACAGAATCGCTGTGAAGATCAAGCAGAAAGTGGGAAGAGAGAATTTGGAAACTAAGTGCTGTGCACATTCCAATGGCTCGCAGTTTTTGAGTGCTTTCTAAGGCCAGATTCTGCTAAATGCACTTTATGTGCATTTTCATATGTAATCTTTAATATTTTCATGAGATAGTTACTATTACTGTCCCATTTTAGGTATGAGGAAACTGAGGCCCTTGAGGAGTTATGTGTCCTGCCCAAAGTCACTGAGCTAGTGAGAGAGAGAGAGTTGGGAAATGAATTCAGGTCTGTTTGACTCCAAAGTTCTTGTCTCTTTCCTTGTGTCCTTCCTCCATCCCTATCTTGGAGGATAAGCTGTGGCTGATGTCCCTGCAGCCCCGTGGTCCTGATGGGTTAACTGAGACCCAGGCAGATGGCAGGGCTTGAGTTGGCAGATCCATTCTGGGATGTCCAAGAGGCTGACCTTGGACAGACCAGAGGGCACTTGGAGGAAGAAGGTTTGGAGTTCCTTGCCTCAGGGAGGCCACCATCTGCTCTGTGCTCTTTCAGACCAATTGCCTTCAGAATCTGTGACTTTCACTGACACTTCTGGGCATTAGAGGTTAAGAAGACCAGGTGTCTGCTGCCTTATTTGTCCGGAAAGAGCAGAGCTGTGCCTGAGAAAGATGCTTCTGAAAGTCCAGGAGGCACCTCTCCATGGCAACAAGGACCCAGCCTGAGGATTCTGCAAACAGCTGGAGCCCTTCCTCCACCTTCTTTGATCTGCAGCCTCACCTTCCACCTCTAAGCCACAGTCATCAACTGATGGCCCTTGTTTCTATTTTGAAGAAAACAAATATGCTTTTAAAGTCTTGGGTTCAAAACTTGAAGCCAGCCCTTCTGGGATAGGTGAAGACGTTGGACCTAGCAGAGACTAATCAAGGAAGTGAGTTGAGATGAGTCTCTACAACTGAGATGCTCAGCTTCATAAGTGTGGGTGGGAATTTGGTCACATTTCATACTTTTAACTAAAAATGGGTTTAGCCCGCCGCTTGACGTATCTAAAAAAATCTTAGCAAATATCTCAGGGCTTTTGGATTATAATAGAAACCTCAGGGTACACTCTGTCCAAAATGGTCAGTCCAGTTTCTGTACGCTTGTGCTGGTAGAACTGGGAAATGCAATCAGTCCACCAGCAGACAGGCTGGTTTCAGCTGCCGTTGCAACACAGGGCGGTTGTCGGGAACTGGTCCAGCACAAGGCAGTGTTCTCCTGTCCTTGCTAGCGATGCTCCACTTGCTGGTTCAGATCCCTGCACTGATCAAGCCATTCTCGAGGATGTTGGTCCTCCTTCCTTCACGTTCCTCTGGGTTCAAGGCGCTCCACAGTGGGACTCCTGAGCCAGCCGTTCTCCGGTTCGCCCTTGTGTCCTCAGCCACATCCTTGTCGCATGGTGGGCCGGCAATGGGGATTCTCTTAGCTTCAGACAAACACGGTGCCAAGACCAACACTCTCCTACATTAGCTTGGGTTGCCTCTCCAGGCTGCCCCATCCCCTTAGGGTGGCTCTCAGCCCCGCAGTGTCACTTCCTGTTGATTGATCTCAGCAGCTTCAAAATCTCTCAGAGATTCCAGTAGGTTTGCACTTCACAATGGAAGAGCGCAACGTTGGCATATTTGCTGAGAAGCTACCCCAGGAGCCAATCTCCAAGACACCTTCTGCTTGCCAAGGAGTGTTGGCAGGCGCAGCCAATATGTCAGCCAGAAAAATGTCCGGTTGCAACTCTCCCTTGAAAGGCAATGGGTTTTATACAGGGACCAGGGGGATTTTCCCAGAACAATTCGCCTACTTGAAGAAGTAACTGCAACGTTTAAATTTCACTCCCTAGAAATATTTCAGTTCTGCCTCACCAGGTATCCCGGTGCACTTACCAGAAACCAAGAAGAGGCTCTGACCCTTCAAGTCTCCATTTTCCTCCTCTGACCAGTTCCTGAGCCCGGTGCCCGAGTCTTCATTCAAGCTCTGGGCTTGGTTTCTGCTCTAAGTTAGCTGAGTCCTCCGCCGCCTCCCTAGAAGGGAAGCCTTGCCTTAGTCTGGCCTGTTTTCCATCTGTTTGTCCCTGGCCTTGGTGGGAGGGTGGAGGGGTTGTCTATTTTTTTTTCACATTTTAAAATATAACTTATTTTGGAGTAATTCTAGGTTTACATAAAAGTTGTAGAGATAGCACACCTACTGTATCCCCTTCACCCACTTCCTCTGATGCTAGCATATTACATGACTAGGTACTTTTGTCAAAACTAAGACACTGACATAGGTACAATGCTATTAACTGAACTATAGACTTCATTTGGATTTCATCACTTTTTCTGCTAATGCCACTTTTCTGTCCCAGAATCCATTCCAGGGTACCACACTGTATTTAGGAAAAGCATCTGTTTTTACCACTGTGCCCCCAGGGTTCAGCCCAAAGCTTGGCACCAAACAGGCAGTGTGTGAATGAATGAACGAATGAATGAGTGAACAAGTGCTAAACAAGGAGAGCCCTTCCACCCTGATTAGTTGCTACAAGGATTCATGCCTGTGTCCCCCACACATCCTGGGAGACCCCAGGGGTTCCCTGAGGCCCAACCACCTGAGGCCTGGTCGACTCTGCTGCTGGGATGGCCCCTCAGGGGTCGTCTTAATCATCCTGTCCCTAATGCTTTGGTTGCTCTGCCAGGCTGGGAATAACGGTCCAAGGCCTGATTCTGCATCTTTCCATCCCATGCCTGTAGGGAGAGTATGTGCATTCTTGTGGATGTGTGGGTGTGTCTGATCTAGGAGCAGCTTGCAGTATTGAGAAATGGTCGCAGATCCCTGGAGGTTGCTTCAGGGGTGGCCAGCATCCTATTTGGCCTCATGAATTCTCATTTCTGTATCAATCAGGGCTCAATCATAGAAGCAGAAACATGTTGGGTTTTCTAGAATAAGGGTTATATGATAGGAGGTAGCCTTTATGCAGTTGTGGGAACCAGTTAAGACCTCTATGTAAGGGACTGCCCTGGCGGTCCAGGGGTTAAGACTCCGGGCTTTCACTGAAGGGTGCATGGGTTCGATTCCTGGTTGGAGAACTAAGATTCGCACAAGACGCATAGCGCGGCCAAAAAGAAACCAGAGGTGGTAGGGAGTAAAAAATCAAACTGGTGTGACTCAGTTGGGATAAAGCAGTAAGGAGCCTGAAGCAATAAACAGTCCTAAGACCTCCATGTAAGGTTGTTGCTTCTGTGTCTGGCATTGGGTCTGAAGTCACTTGAATTCAGCAGAGCCGACTGGTGGAAAGGAAAGCTGGATGTGAACTTGGGGACAGCAAAGGCAAGCTGGAAACCATGAAGACAACTGGAACTAGGGATGTGCCAGAGCTGACTGAAACTGTCTTGTGAGAGCTGATTACTAAGTTTTTAAGAATTCTGTGATCCAGCTGTTAAACACAGCCATTATAAAAATTAAATTATATAAACTTACAATTAAATAAATTACATTAAAAAAAACTCGTTACTTCTTAATTATTCTGCTATGTCTTATTACCTGTGCTCTTGGGGTTATTTATATCGACTTTATCTCTGTGGTGGAAATACTATATAGTGGTATGCTACCGCACCCCTCTTCCCAACTTCACATTCAGGGATGTCATGTTAGTAGCTTGAAATTAGCCCCTGTGGGAGTATTTATACCATTGAAATCCGCAAATGCTCAAATCAGGCCTTGATTAATTATTTTGTTAGTTGTCTAGACATAAGAAGGTGATGGACAGAATGTTAATAAAGCAAATTAAACTTAAAAATGTCTAATATTTGAAGCAGTTATACTGTGGATAAAAGAAATACCCTTTTGGTATTCAAAACTTTTTTTTTTTTTTTTTTTTTGGCCACGCTGCATGGCATGTGGCATCCTTAGTCCCCTGACCACGGATTGAACCCGCACCCCTTGCTTTGGAAGCGTGGAGTCTTAACCACTGGACCGCCAGGGAAGTCCCCCAAACAACTTTCAGCTTAGCAAAGAAGTAGCTTACAACACTGACGAACAGGTGAAATTCTTCACACATCTTCATTGTTTCACTTTTGTCTTACTTGTTATAGTAAACAAGATCAACCAAGATTCACATTGGACCTGCGCCTGGAGAGCTGGCTGTCAGACACTTACCAGCGCACTGTTGACTGTGTCTGTTTCGCGTGGCCTCCAGTCTTGATGACACAGGTGACCTGGAGAAGAAGCTGGTATCTTTTATTGCCGAGTTGAGCAGACACCTGGCCTAAGACATGGAGAGATAAAAGGAAGAGACCCAGGAGGAGCTGGAAGAGGTAAGCCAGGTGTTCCGCCACATTGGCAAGTGAGCCAGCAGCTGAGAGATGCTGTGTGAGAGCGGCAACCCTGCCTGGAGTCTTTCTGCCTCCCAAATCTCATGCCTATTTCTCTGAGGCCTCCCTGAATGTGGAAGCATGCAGGGAAGGGAATTCTGAGAACTGTAGTTCCAGTTGAGCCAAGGTGATGTAGCCCCATACCTTTTCTGACACTAAGACATGATGTGAGGCTGGGGTGGGGACTTCACTGGGGGACACAGCTGTCCCTGGGCCTGGTGGGTTCCAGCACTGGCTGTCGGCAGTATGCAGGAGGGTTCCTACACCCATCCAACACCGGGACCAGGGTTGTGTGGAATGGACCTGCTGTGCCAACGTTCTGCCTGTATCATCAATCCAGAACCTGGGGCCGGGCCATTCTGGGAGCCGGGCTTCTAAAAGAGTAAATGGAATGACTCAGATTAAGGGGCATCTAAACAAGTGTTTTGGGGGGCACTCCGTGTTAGTGACCGTGGTAGGCATGACAAAGCGTGGAGGGGCTGGGAAGGAGAAACCATGAAGAACTTCCATCAGTGGAGAGCTCTGGGATGAGCTGGTGCCCCCCCCGCCCCGCCCCCATGGGCCAGCTAAGTACCATTCATCAGAGGAGAGGCAGGGGCTCAAAGAAGTACATCTACACTGTGGCCTTGTGAGCAGGCGCCCTGAATCCTCTCGATGGGTTGGCTTCCGGGCTGCTTGTCGGCACCTGCCAACGCTTCCGTGGACCCCACCTGCTTTGCCAAGCAGGAGGGTATCGGCTTCAGGGCTGCAAGGGCCAGGACTGCTTTTGCTTGATTGTGAACATAGTCAGATGGGCCAATGTTGGCTCCAGTGTCTAAGTCGGGGGCTGAGCTGGGAGGCTTCAGTGAAGCATGACCTTGGCCAGCTGGTCCCCTCGCAGGGGCCAAGTCATGAGTGGGTGAGATGCTTCCCCAGGGAGGGGCCCCGAAAGGGCTGAAAGAGGACAGGAAGGGTTGGTTCAGCCAACCAACATGATCGTGTCACTTTCCTCCTCATTGAGTGTGAATTAGAACCCCACCCCTGGTGCTCCTTGAGCCCTGTGTCACACCTAGTGGTGATGTAGGTAACACGGGCCCTTGCCGCTTGCCCATGGCAGGTGTTTCTTCGCTGCCATGGCCATGTGGGCCAGGCAAAGCGGGGCTGCTGGAGGGGGCGCAGAGGCACTGCCTGCAGCCCGCAAAGCCCACTCCTCTGAGACCCTGCGCTCCTGCACCTGCCACTTGCCTGTGACGCATGTCTCTGGGTGGCTCGACTTCCAACCCATTGTAATCCTCTTGTCCTGACCCTCACTCTGGGGCTCCAACAATCGTGTTCTTTCCCTAATGGGCTCTGGGCTTGGCATTGCCTGCTCTGCACGCAGAGCTCCAGCTGAGGGTTCTGGACCAGGCTGCCAGCACTCTCAGGCCTGCTTGGCTTTGCCACTGGAGGACGGTCATCAGAACACAAAGATCTTCCCGACAATCCCGGTGCTGCTGTCTGACCAAGCTGACCTTGTCATTAGGGCAGTCAGAGACTCATTTATCACACAAGGGTGGGTGAGTACCCTTTAGGAAGGCACAGCTGTTTTGGGCTGCGATCCTGTCTGCTCCCTTCCTTCCTTCCTCCTGTCACCTCCTCTTCTCCATGATGCAAAGATGGTGAGATTGGAATGCCACAAGATGGTACTATGATCAGAGGACCCAGGGACATCATCCCGTCCTTAAGATTCCCAAGGTCGGGACTTCGCTGGTGTCCAGTGCTTACCACCCTGCACTCCCCATGCAGGGGGCAGGGGTTCGATCCCTGGTCAGGGAACTAAGATCCCATGTACTGCAACTAGAGAGCCTGCACATCCCAACGAAGACCCAGCACAGCCTAAACAAATAACTAAAGTGCAACAATTCCAAAGGCTCGTTCATTCACATGCTGCTGGCCATTGGCTGGGGGACTCAGTTCCTCTCCCTGTGGGCTAGTTTGAGCTTCCTGACAACATGCTGACTTCTCCAGAGTGAACGTTCCCCAAACAGCACCAACTAGGTGGAAGCTCTATCCTTCCTATGACCCAGCCTCAGAAGTCACACGGCGTCACTTCCACTGAACTCTGTGGGTTGGAGCTGTCCCTAAACCTGATCCGTTTCAAAGGGAGGGAAGCGTAGATCCTTCCTGTCAGCAGGAGGTCTACTGAAGTCACATTGCATGAGGCGCATGTCAGATGAGAGACCGCTGCACTATTTAGGATACACCTCTGCCACAGAGGCAAACGAACCCACTTTTAAGTAGCCGAGGTTTTGGTACCCAAACCTTGATGCAGATTTCAGGTGAACTGGTTGCACCCCATGGGCGGTTTTCTTTCTTCTAAGCTACTTATGTCTGAACAGCCTCAGACCCAGGAGGGTCACACTGTTTCACTCCTTAATTCTCAAACCCAAATCTTAAAATCTTATTGCTACAATGCAAGGAAAAGCCAACACCAGGGAGAGTGGGTCTGGAGAGTTAAGAGAAAGAGAAGATTTCCTCTAAGTCCAAGGGCATAAGTGTCCCAGGCTGTCCTCCCCCACCCTTCTAGTCCTGGGCAGTGGCCCTGGCCTGACTGCCCGTATTCATCAGGGTTCTCCAGAGAAACAGAACCAGTAGTATATATATACACATACATATATGGTATGTATACTTTATATATACGTATGCACATACAGTGGTCTATATATACAGTATACATGCACACGCTTCCTAATATTACTATAAGGAATTGGCTCACGTGATTATGGACGGAGGCTGACAAGTCCCACAATCTGCAGGGTGAGTCACCTAGCTGGGGACCCCAGGGAGCCTGGTGGGTTAGTTCCAGTCTGGGTCTGAAAGCCTGAGACCCAGGAACAGCCAATGTTTCAGTTTGAGTCTGAAGGCAGTCAGCTAGGAGGAATTCTCTCTTCCTCGGGGGAGGGTCAGCCTTTTGTTCTATTCAGGCCCAACTGACCGGATGAGACGCACCCACGTGGGGAGGATTACCTGCTTGACTCAGTCTGCTGATTTAAATGTTCATCTCATCCAAAAACGCCACAGAGACATGCAGAAGGATGTTTGACCAAATATCTAGGCACCCCTGGCCCAGCCAAGCTGCTACATACAATGAACCATCACACTGCTGTGTAGGAGAGAGGGCTTCATGAGCAGAAGCACGTTGGCCAGCAGGAAAGAGAAGTTTCTCAAGCTTTCTCGATGTTGAAAATCCTGCCTCAAGAAATATCAGACTGGGCTTCCCTGGTGGCGCAGTGGTTGAAAATCCGCCTGCTGATGCAGGGGACGCGGGTTCATGCCCCGGTCCGGGAGGGTCCCGGGCCCGTGAGCCGTGGCCGCTGGGCCTGCGCGTCCGGAGCCTGTGCTCCGCAACGGGAGAGGCCACAGCAGTGAGAGGCCCGCATACCGCAAAAAAGAAAGAAAGAAAGAAAGAAAGAAATATCAGGCCCATTGGTGTTCTGAAATCCAATTAACCAGACCATGCCTCCTCCCCCTTAGCGAGTGAACTTTCTTCCATCTTGCATTCGAGTTGGATCCATTCTCGTGGGGAGCGAGGGATCAGGGGAGAGGTGCTTTAGGCCTTCTGGAAGCCAGTCTCCGTTCATTCACTGAGCACTGAGTGGGGTCACATGCTGGGCAGTGGGGACCACGAGATGGATCTGACCAGTCCCTGCCTTCCGGGAGCTCACGATCTAAGGAGGAAGAGAGGTGTGGCTGGGAAGTAAGAGAGGCTCCCATCTAGACAGCCCTCCAAGTGGCCACCAGGTCATCTCCCGGCACCATATTTCTCCAGAACGGCGTTGGCTGCCCGCTGCACCTCCAGCTCCTTGGCATGGCTTTGTAAGCCCCTCACTTGACCCTCAGCCACTGGTCTATCCACTCACCAGTGTCCCTCCACTTTACCGTGCTCCACTCTGCCCTCTGAGGTCCGAACAGGCTCACGTGCTCCCTCAGCCTACCGTGTCCTTTCCGGCCCCCCTCTGCCTGCCGGGTCCTCTCATTTTCCCAGACCCTCTTCCGGTACTGCCTCTTCCATAAAACCCTCCTCAGCAAAACAATGGCCCCTTTTGTTTCCCTCTCACATCATAGGGCTTGCATCTTTATTTAAGACCGTTGATGACATATTTGTTGCTGGCAATAACCACCATTCACAGCAAACAGCACGTGGCCAAGCACTTTATGGGCATTATCTCCATTTAATCCTTTCACGAACCCTGGAAGCGGGTGTTCGGATCTCCTTTTCCCAGATGAGGAAACGGAAGCTCCGAAAAGTTCAGCGTCTGGTTGCCAAGGTCACACAGCTAGTCAGCGGCAGAGCCGGAGTTTGAACGGAGGCTGCTCGAGTCTCAAGATCTGCTGCCTGCCTCTTTAGCATAAGTAAGGGCTCCAGGAATGTCAGTTTCCTGGGCTAAGATTGGAGGGGATGTAGGAGAGTCGGGTGCTCTGTGGGTCTGTGTGAATGCAGCTGTTTTTCAGAAGGTGGTAGGATGGTAGTCCTGTGGGCTGTGGTCCCCAGGAGAGAGCTGGGTCCTTTGGAGAAGGCTGCTCAGCTGAACAGACAAAAGCATCTGCCCCAGCTGGAGAAAGAAACCAGCCCCCTTGCATTTGGTGTGAAATTGGCTCCCAGGCACAACTCCGCCCCCCCACCTCCTCAGACTCAGACAGGAAGGCTGTCAGCCTTGTCTTGGCACGTCTGAATGGCTGAATGACAGCACTGACACGTGTGTGGGAGGCACTGAAGCAAGGGATCCCTTAATAGATCCGGTATCTCTCAGCCCCAAAGCTTAATATCCACTGGTTGGGTGGTGGGGCAGCGTCAATGCGTGAGGACCCGTCAGCCTCTGCAGGGACCAGGGTGAGGGGAGTGAGACACTCCCAGAATTTAAGGGGGCACCAAAAAACTCGGTAACCGAGATAAATGATATTTCAGTGCAATATTTGGAAAGCAAAAGTAATGCAAAATATCTATGATGGAGAGGCTTTTCCTGACTTCGGAGGGGCAGAGCTATGTGATCTAATGAGCAGGGCAGCTGGCCTCCCAAGGCTCTGACTTTCCAGGGATCTGGAAGGTTTCCTGTTTCTCTCTGATCCGGGAGAACCAAACTGCATTCATTCATCCTTCACTCACTCACTCACTCACTCAGTGAGCATTTATGGGGTATTTCGCTGTGCAGATAAGCATATCATTTGCAAATAATGACACATTTATGTTTATAGCTTCCATTCTAGTTCCGTCTCTCTATCCCTGTCTCTATCACTATCTCTCTAGCATTAGCTAGACTTCCAGTACAATTTTGAATAGTGCTGCCAATAGCAGGCACCCTTGTCCTTTTCCTGATTTCATTGGGAAGGAGCCTCAAATTTCATCATAGAGTATAAAGTTTACTGGAAGTTTTTGGTATGTACGTTTAATAAGGTTGTGGAGGACTTCCCTGGTGGCGCAGTGGTTGAGAGTCCGCCTGCCGATGCAGGGGACACGGGTTCGTGCCCCGGTCCAGGAAGATCCCACATGCCGCGGAGCGGCTGGGCCCATGAGCCATGGCCGCTGAGCCTGCGCGTCCGGAACCTGTTGCTCCGCAACGGGAGAGGCCACAACAGTGAGAGGCCCGCGTACTACAAACAAACAAAAACAACAACAAAAAAAATAAGGTTGTGGAAATTATATTCCATTTGAATTTTGCTAAGACTTTTCTTCCTTTTTTAAAATCTCAGATGGGTGTTGAATGTTATTGAATGTTTTTTGTGCATCTTTTGGTATGTTCGTATAATATTTTCTCCTTAATCTGCTAATATGTTGAATTATATCAACAGATTTCCTAATACTGAGCTGCCTTTGCCTTCCTGGGATAGCTCTCTTTGGTCATATTATATTTTATATACAGCTGGAATGGAATTGTCACTATTTTATTTAGCATTTTAAAAAGTCCATATTAACAACTAAATTTGAACTGTGATTTTTTTGACCAGTTTTGGTAGTAAGATCACACAAGCCTTATGAAATGAGAAGGTCAGTCCCCCCTCCCCATCCCCCAATTCTCTGAAGGGGTTTGTGTAAAATAGAAATTACCTATCTCTTGAGGGTTTTCCAAAATTTGCTTCTGTAACAGGCTAGGTATCTTTGGGAAGAGGGAGAAGCTTCTACCTATTATATTTTAAAAATGTTATTGTTTATTCAGGTTTTCTATTTCTTTTCGGTCAGTTTTTGTAATTTCTCTTTTTATAGAAAATTGTCCATGTCATCATTGACGTTGTACATAGTTTTTTGTGTTTTTTTTTTAATGATTTCAACTCTTTTTTGTATTTTTTTTTTTTTTTTTTTTTTTTTTTCTTGTATCTTTTTTTTTTTTTTTTTTGCGGTAAGTGGGCCTCTCACTGTTGTGGCCTCTCCCGTTGCAGAGCACAGGCTCCGGACGCGCAGGCCCAGCGGCCATGGCTCACGGGCCTAGCCGCTCCGCAGCATGTGGGATCTTCCCGGACCGGGACACAAACCCGTGTCCCCTGCATCAGCAGGAGGACTCTCAACCACTGTGCCACCAGGGAAGCCCCCCTTGGTTTTTAATAAATACATTGAAAGCTAGATTTTTCCTTCAGGTATGACTTTAATCACGTCCCACAGATTTTACATGAAGTATAGTGATTGTGATTTGCTTCTAAATATTTCATAAATTTCTACTGTGAATTTCTTTTTAATTCATGTTGTTCAGGAGTGTGTTTAGTAATTATATTGTAATTAAATAGCATTATTTACCAATTAATTAAATTTATGAACATATTTTACCAATTTCCAAGTTCACCTTGTTTCTTGCATGACACTTGTTCCTCTTGATTTCTCTTTTCTTCTCGTTAAAGTAAAATCTTTGTTACTTCTTTGAGTTAGATTCCTTGGGTGGTAAACATTTAGTCTTTTATGTTTGAAAATGTCAATTTCACTTTCAGTCTTGAATGATAGTTTAGCAGGGGATATAATTCTAGACTGCCTCTTATTTTTGCTCAGTCCTTTGAAGATTTAGCCCCCTTGCCCTCTGTCCTCTATTGTAGTGATGAGAAGCCTCAGGTCTTTATATTTTTTAATTTTTGTATCTGATCATTTTTTTAGAATAACTTTTTATTTATCCTCGATGTTCTTTAGTTTCACAAGGGTATATAGTTAGATGTGGTCTAAAAAAATGTATTCTATTTAGCCCTCAGTATACATGTTCAGTTTGAGGACCCACATTTTTCTTCAATTCTGGAAAATACTTACCCTTTATCATCCCTTTGAAAATTGCTTCCTCACAATGCCCTCTATTCTCTTCTTCTGGCACTCTCATTAGACACATGTTTGAGCCAGAGTTTTCTTTTTTTTTAACAGCTCTTTAATATTTTTATTTATTTCTCTGTATTGTGGTCTGAGTTATTATTACAGCAGCATCATCCAATGTATTCATTCTCTCTTTAACTTTATCCTCTAGCATTTATCACTCTTATCGAAAAAAATGTAAATTAAGTGCATATCTATTTTGTGTCCAGCATTTCTAACAGGTTCTTCTTTTAAAAATACCTCTGACCTTGTTTCATTTCTGTTTGTTTTTGTTTTACAATACGTTAATGTTATGATTCATGTTATTTCTTCCTTTGTGGGTCTTG